ATGTGTGCCACATCTTCTTTATCCATTCCTCTGTCGATGGACATTTAGGTTGCTGCCATGTCCTCGCTATTGTAAATAGGGCTGCAGTGAACATAGGGGAGGATGTATCTTTTTGAGTTTTCTCTGGATAGATACCCACAGAGGGATTGCTGGATCATATGGTAGCTCTATTTTTAGTTTTTTAAGGAAGTTCCATACTGTTCTCCATAGTGGCTAAACCAATTTACATTCCCACTAACAGCGTAGGAGGGTTCCCTTTTCTCCACACCCTTTCCAGCATTTATTGTTTGTAGATTTTTTGATAATGGCCATTCTGACCCGTGTGAGGTGATAACCTCATTGTACTTTTGATTTTTGTTTCTGTAATGATTAGTGATGTTGAGCATCTCTTCATGTGCTTTTTAGCCATCTGTATGTCTTCTTTGAAGAAATGTCTGTTTAGATCTTCCACCCGTTTTTTGATTGAGGTTTTTTTTTGATATTGAACTGCATGAGCTGTTTGTATACTTTGGAGATTAAACCCTTGGTCGTCTAGTCATTTGCAAATATTTTCTCCCATTCTGAGGGTTGTCTTTTTGTTTTGTTTATGATTCCTTTGCTGTGGAAAAGCTTTTAAGTTTAATTAGGTCCTACTTGTTTATTTTTGTTTTTATTTTTATTACACTAGGAGACGGATCAAAAAAGATCTTGCTGCAATTTATGTCAGAATGTGTTCTGCCTGTGTTTTCCTCTAAGCGTTTTATAGTATCCGGCCTTACATTTAGGTCTTTATTCCATTTTGAGTTTGTTTTCATGTATGGTGTTAGGGAGTGTTCAAAAATGTTATATAAATGGAATCATACAGTATGTAACTTTCGGGATTGGCCTTTCTCACTCAGCATAATACCCTTGTGATCCATCTGAGTTGTTGCATGCATCAATAGTTTGTCCCTTTGTCTTGCTGAGTAGTATTTCATGGTATGGTAGGCATGGCATTTCACAGTTTGTTTAACCATTCACTAGTTGAAGGACATCTGAGTTGTTTCATTTTTTGCTATTACGAATAAAAGTGCTATGAACATACATGTACAGGCTTTTGTGTGGACATATTTATTTCTCTACAATAAATGCCAAGAGTTCAAAGGTAATTGCATGTTTAGTTTTTTAAGAAACTGCCAAACAGTTTTCCATAGTGTCTGTACCATTTTACGTATCCACCACCAGTGTATGAGCGCTAGTTTCTCTGTATCTTCACCAGTTTCTGGTGTTATCGCTATTTTTCATTTTAGTTATTCTGATGTATAGTAGTATTGCATTGTGGTTTCAAATTTGCATTTCCCTGATAGCTAATGACAGTTCCTTGTATATTTCAGATGCAATTCCTTTGTTGGATGTTGGTTTATAAATGTTTTCTCCCAGCCTGTAGTTTGTTTTTTCATTCACTTAACAAGGTCTTTTGCAAAGCATAAGTTTTTAATTGATAATAGCTATTTGATAAATTTTTGCTTTTATGGATCAAGCTTTTGGCGTCAAGTGTAAGAACTCTTTGCCTTGTTCTAGATCTCAAAGCTATTCTCCTATTTTCTTTTTCTAAACATTTTATAGTTTTATGTTTTACATTTAAGCCTGTGGTCTATTTTAAAGTAATTTTTGTATAAGTTGTGTGCTTTAGGGAGAGGTTCATTTTCTTGCCTGTGGATATCCAGTTGCTCCAACACCATTTGTCATTGAATTGCTTTTGCAACTGTGTCAAAAATCAGTTGTCTGTACTTGTGTTGGTTTATTTCTGGGTTCTCTTTTTTTTTCCATTGATCTTTGTGTCTGTTCTTCTGCCAGTGTCACACAGTATCTATTATTGTAACTGTGTATCAGTAGTATACCTGAATATTGAGTAGAGCCATTCAAGATCGCCCAATTCTTCTTTGTCAAGATAGTTTTCACTATTCTTGAGTCTGTGCCTTTCTGTATAAACTTTAGAGTAAACTTCTCTTTGTCCATAAAAAGCCTTGCTGGGATTTTGATAGGATTTGCATTAAACTTACAGATCATTAAACCTAAAATGGAAAAAGTTGACATTTTTACTATGAATGTGGTATGTCTCTCCATTTATTTAGGTCTTGCTCTGTTTCTTTCATCATCATTTTATAATTTTTAGCATGTAGGTCCTGGACATGTGTTTTGTTCTTTTCGGGTGTGAGAGGTGATTATAAATGGTGTTCTGTCCTTGGTTTTGATTTTCAAATGTTCACTGTTAGTATATAGAAATGCAGTTTATTTTTGTGTGTTGATCTTTTATCCTGTCACCTTGCTGAATTCGTAGTGTTCTTGAAGGGGTTTTTTTGGTAAATTCCTTGGGAATTTCAAGGTAGACTGGCATGTCATCTGCAAATAGGAGCAGTTTCATTCCTTGTTTTCTAATCTGTGTGCATTTTCTTTGTCTTGCCTTACTGAAGTGGCTGGAACTTCCAGTATTATGTTAAATAAGAGTGGTTAGAGAGAACATCCTTACCTTGTTCCCAGTCTTAAAGACAAAGTACTCAGTCTTTCATTACTAAGTATATTGTTAGCTGTAGTTTTTTTGTAGATGCTCTGTATCATGTTGAGGAAGTTCTCTTCTATTCCTGGTTTGTTGAGAGTTTTTATCATGAATGGATTTATCGTGTTGGATTTTGTCAAATACCTTTTCTGTATCAATTGATATAACCATATCATTTTTCTTAGCTTATTGATATGTAGGGGTTTGTAACTATTGAACCAGCCTGGCGTACATACAATAAATCCTATGGTATTAAGTCTTTTATATATTTTTGAATTTAATTTGTTAATATTTTGTTGAGCATTTTTGCATCCAAGTTCATGAGAAATAGTGGTCTGTAGTTTTTTGTTTGTTTTTTTTAAAATTTTATTTATTTATTTATTTTTGGCTGTGTTGGGTCTTCATTTCTGTGCGTGGGCTTTCTCTAGTTGGGGCAAGCGGGGACCACTCTTCTTTGCGGTGCACGGGCCTCTCACTGTCGTGGCCTCTCTTGTTGCGGAGCACAAGCTCCAGGCGCGCAGGCTCAGTAGTTGTGGCTCACGGGCCTAGTTGCTCCGCGGCATGTGGAATCTTCCCAGACCAGGGCTCGAACCCGTGTCCCCTGCATTGGCAGGCAGATTCTCAACCACTGCGCTACCAGGGAAGCCCTGTAGTTTTCTTTTTTTTGTACTGTCTTTGTCTGGATTTGATATCAGCATAATACTGGCCTCATAAAAATGAATTGGGAAATGTTCCCTTCTCTTGTATTTTCTGGAAGTGACTGTAAATTGGTGTTAATTCTTTAAATGTTTGGTAGGCTTCTCCACTGAAATCATGTGGACCTGGATATTTCTTTTGGGGGGTGCTTAGGTAGGAATTGTGTTACTTTAATAGAACTATTCAGATTATCTATTTCATTTTGCCTAAGTTGTTACAGTTCGTGGTTTTTGAAGAATTAGTCTATTCTAAGTTGTTCAATTATGTTGTTATTAGTATTCTCTTATCCTATCAGTGGCAACAAATTTGTTATAATATCCCATTGCATTCTTGATATTGGTGATTTGTGTCTTCTCTCTTTTTATGTTTGCTGCTCTTGCTGGAAGTTTATCAGTTTTGTTCATTTTTTGGAAGAACCAGTTTTTTGTCTTTTTAATTTTCTCTTGTTTTTCTGTTTTCTCATTTATTTATTTTTATTCTTTATTATTTCCTTATTTCTGCTTGCTTTTGGTTTAATTTGCTCTTCTTTTTCTAGGTTCTTGAGGTTAGAATTTAAATTGTTGATTTCTTTCCTCTTTTCCAATGTAAACATTTAGTGCTATAAGGTTTCCTCTCAACACTGTTTAGCTATAATCTCATTTAGCTATAATCTCACATAATTTAATATGTTGTACTTTTATTATTATTCAGTACTTTGTATTTTTTTCAAGACTTCCTCTTTGATCCATGGATTATCTAGAATTGTATTGCTTAACACCATGTATTTAGAGACTTCCTTCCAGTTTTGATGCTTAGTATGATTCCATGTGGTCGAGGAACATACTCTGTATGATTTCAGTTTTTTTTTGACATTTATGAGGTATGCTTTTTTTAACTTATTTTTTATTGAAATATAGTTGAATTACAATGTTGTGTTAATTACTGCTGTACAGTAAAGTGATTCAGTTATACATGTATATACATTCTTTGTCATATTCTTTTCCATTATGGTTTATCACAGGATATTGAACGTAGTTCCCTGTGCTATACAGTAGGACCTTGTTTATTCATTTTATATATACTAGTTTGCATCTGTTAATCCAAACTCCCAATCCAACCCTCTCCCACCCCCCCTCCCCCTTGGCAACCACCAATCTATGTCCCTGATTTATATGGTTTGCTTTTTGACCCCGGATATGGCTCATTTTAAAACACCAGATTTTTAGGAACTCTGTGGAGTCCTGCCCACTCCCTGTTACCTCAGTCTGCCTCAACACTTCAGCTATAGCTCACATTGCTTGTCTCTCACCAGCAGAGAAAAGAGGCCTAGAGCAGCCTTCCAAGGGCCCCTGAGTTAGTGACAGAATTGGACATTAAGCCCTGAGAGCCCTGCCTACTTGGACTAGGAACCTGGTTCATCATCCCCATGGAGACTTGCCTTCCATGACCCCTCCCATGACATGTGATGAACACACAATGAGGCTGAGGGTGGGGTGGGGTGGGGTGGGCAGGGTACAGAGGAGTAGCCAGTCTAGGCCCTGTGCCCCTACACCCTCACCGCTTTCTAATGGGGTGGTAAACGAGAAGGGGCAACTCAGATGCCTAAGAAGCTTAGGCCCAAATCTCGGAGACAACGCCAGGCTGTTACTCCCGTCACCCAGGTCCGCCGGGCAGCCCGTTCCCACCCTTGCAAACAGTCCAAGCGTGACGCCAAGAGCTATCAGCGCCGCCGCCGCCGCCGCCGCCGAAATACTATACGCAGGGTTGCCAACCAGCTGCAAGCAGTTGACACCTCGTGTCCTTCCTGCAGGGTCTACAAGAAGAGTGAGGAACTTCGGTCTCGTCTTGTGTCTGGGATCATCACACCTATCCATGAACATTGGGTCAAGGCTAGCGAAAGTCCCCAACAGGAGTTTCCCCCTGCCACTGCCAGAGAGATTGACCCACTCCGGATTCACCCACACCACCCACATACCAGCCGGCAGCCTCCCTGGTGAGTACAGAGCCCACAGTGGCAGCCCATGCCTCTGAAGAAGGAGTCCAGCCATGACCATCTTGCCACTTGACCCCCCTCTGGCCCCCATGTGTCTTCAACAGAATTGTCAGAGTCTTGGTATATGGAGATAGAAAGTGGAGATGTAAGTGGAGCAGTGAGTTCTTGTACTGCTACTAGTCACCCCAATAACCCAGCATCCTAAGGCTGCCTGCCTCCTTTCTAGAGGCCACACACAGCCTCTGAGTCTGCCCAAGGGTCAGCGCCTCTGAGGCGTGTGTGCAGTCCTCCAGAGTTGCTGCCCAGGTAGTTCAGTTTTTTATTCCAGAGCTCTTTGTATGTGCAGGACCCTGGACCAGGCTTTTGGGGAAAATGTAGAAATACTGGAAGTTCCTGGAGGGAATATGTTCCCAATGTTCCCTTTCTTTGCCTTTCACTTCATTATAGTCCCCTGATCTCTTTTACAACTTGAAAACTTTGCCAAAACAGCATGAGGTATGAGCAGGTCATATACAAGGTCTTTGCAGATTAGGATGGCAGCACTTAGGACTGGAGACTTCTGCTCTGAGGGAGAAGACAAGGACCAGGGACACCTTAGTCTCTGGTTGAGATGGCATGTTCCAGTTTGGAGTCCACAGTGTGGTAGTAATGGTGGGGTTGTGGGGGAGGGCTCACTGTGCGGCCATAGTAAGCACTCAATAAGGGTTAGCTGCCATTGTTAAAAATGACTCTGTTTTGCAATTATATACCTTTGGTTAATTAAATAAATAGGAAATTTGTTTAATTACTATAATAATAATTGGCAAGTCTCTGGCAACCTTTGGAAATATTGGGTTCTGTGGGGAGAGTGGAGGATAATAAAAAGTGGTTGAAAGGTTGGGAACAGCTTGTCTGATTTAACCTCTTTATTTAAGATGACCTGCCTAAGGTCACTAGCCACTAATAAAGAGACAGAGCCAGGGCTGGGGGTCCAGGTGTCCTCACTCCAGCACAGTGCTCTGTTGTGATGCAACCAGAATATGGTGGGAAGATTTAAGGGTAAGCCCTGGACAGCAATCAAATTGGGGGAGACTTTTAGACCTTAAGTAGATAGTAATTCTCAGGTCTCTCAGATTCACTTCCTATTTCAAAACAAATATTCTCTGAAGTCTCCTTCACTGTCTCAAAATGGAATTCATAGATGATCTATGAAACTGTACCAAATGGACAGTTTCAAAAAGGATCAGTAGAAAGTCCTGACTATAATATAAATGAGAAATAAAAAGTGAGTAATTAATAAGATAATGTGTGTTTCATTGTGTAGATGCCTGAGCATGATTACACTGGAAAAGATAGGCATTTGCACTTGTATATGGAATTATTTTGAATTCGACAGTAACAAAAGCAGGCACGTGCTATGTTATAGTTACATTTCTGGAAAAATTTTTATTGAAACAGTATAAAAATACTTTGTGTTCACATATAAAATGGCCTTAGACTAACTTATGGTAGGTAATTTTATGTAGGCTTTACATCTCTATGAATGTCTAACAAGACTTTGGCAAGTTGTGTAGGATGTAGATTATTCATTATGTGGAGCTCTACTGTGGATTATAGAGCATGAAGCATCTTTGGTCTTTGCCTATAAATGCTATAAGCACTCTCCAATCACTGTGACAAACAAAAACACCCCCGGGGCTTACACAAAAACACCTCCAGGGCACCTGGAGACTCTGCCATCCTAATTGGGAATCATAGACCTGAATCTGGAATTATGAAGGTAAGAAATCCTAGCCTTGGAAGAACAGAAAGAATGAGAAAATCACCATATTGCAGCTTCTACTGAAATAATATAGTGACTAGGCACAAATTGTCAATGGTTGCTAAAACCATTAGGTAAAAGGTTGATGAGCAACTTTATAATGGATGAGTCAGACTGATAGCACCTGAACCCATAGGTCAATCTTAACACTAAAAGTGGGACAGCCAGACTTTGTGAATTCTAATATAATGCAATAGTAGGTTCACAACAACATGAATCTAGATTGAACTCCCAGTTTAAAAGAAGCATGAGAGGTAGAAGAATGAGTTAAAAAGACACATGAGGATACATGGGTTCCAGCCAATGTATGGAACATGAAAAATTTTTACAGGATTAATTGATCTTGTTTTTTTTTCATCAAATAATGGCATGGGGAGAAAAGGGAGAGGGGGCTTGTTAATCAGAGTCTTATCAACTAAATCCAGTGTTGGACTTTGTATTGATCTTGATTCAAATAAACTAATTCTAAAATTATTTTTGAGATATTTGGGGAAATTTGAACAGGGACCAGGTATTTGATAATGTTACTGCTAATTTTCTTAGGTGACATAATTAAATTCCGGTTATGCTAAAAAAAAAAAGAAGTCTTTGTCTATTGTATATATATAATTTTATTAACTGAAATATTTAAGGGTGAAATGATGTGTCTGGGATTTGCTTTAAAATAATTTCACCCCCTAAAAGAGTGAGACATTGGGAAATGAGTGTAGGGGAAATAAGAATGGTAGAATATTTTGTTTTTTAATTTATTTATTTTATTTATTTATTTTTGGCTGCTTTGGTTCTTCTTTGCTGTGCGTAGCTTTCTCTAGTTGCAGCGAGCGGGGGCTACTCTTTGGTGCGGTGCATGGGCTTCTCATCATGGTGGCTTCTGTTGTTGCGGAGTACAGTCTCTAGGCACGTGGGCTTCAGTAGTTCTGGCACACAGGCTCAGTAATTGTGGCTCGTGGGCTCAGTAGTTGTGGCTCGCGGGCTCTGGAGCACAGGCTCAGTAGTTGTGGCGCATGGACTTAGTTGCTTCACAGCACGTGGGATCTTCCTGGGCCAGGGCTCGAACCTGTGTCCCCTGCATTGGCAGGTGGATTCTTAACCACTGTGCCACCAGGGAAGCCCAGAATGGTAGAATACTGATAATTATTGAAACTGATTGGAAAGGTACATTGGTGTTCATAAATTAGACTTTGTACTATTTTTTGGTCCCTTTGAAAATTTCCTTAATAATGAGTCTTTTATTGATACCAATCCTTCAAAAATTCTTCCAAAAAATAGAAGAGGGGGCTTCTCTGGTGGCGCGGTGGTTGAGAGTCTGCCTGCCGATGCAGGGGACACGGGTTCATGCCCCGGTCCGGGAAGATCCCACATGCTGTGGAGCGGCTAGGCCCGTGAGCCATGGCCGCTGAGCCTGCGTGTCCGGAGCCTATGCTCCACAACGGGAGAGGCCCCAACAGTGAGAGGCCCGCATACCGAAAAAAAAAAAAAAAAAAAAAAGAAGAGGGAGGAACACTTCCCAACTCATTCTGTGAGGCCAGTATTACCCTGATACCAAAACCAAAGACATCACAAGAAAAGTACAAACAAGTAGCCCTTATGAATATAAATGTAAAAATCCTCAACAAAATACTAGCAAAAGAAATCCAGCAACATATAAAAAGGGTTATACACCATGACCAAATGAAACTTATTCCAGGAATGTTTGGTTTAACATCTTAAAATACATCAGTGTAATATACCGTATTAATATAACAGTAGACAAAAAACACATGTTCATCTCAATAGAGAAAAAGCATTTGACAAAATCCAACACCCTTTCATAATAAAAGCATTCAACAATAGAAGGAGACTTTCTCAACTCCCAAAGCACACAGCTAACATCCTACTTAATGGAGAAAGATGGAATTCTTTCCCCGTAAGGTCAGGAACAGGATAAGGATATCTGCTATTGCTACTTTTCTACAACATGGTACTTGAAATTCTAGCCAGCATAATCACTCAAGAAAAAGAAATTAAAGGTATCCTGATTAGAAAGTTAGAAGGAAAGCAATCTTTATTTGCCAATGACATGGGATCCTGTATATAGAAAATCCTAAGGAATCCTTTTTAAAAACCTTCTAGAGCTAATGAATGAGTTCAGCAGCGTGACATGATGTAAGATCAGTAAACAAAAATCAATTGCATTTTCTATACACCAGTAGTGAACAATCTGAAAATGAAATTAAGGAAATAATCTCATTTGTAATAACCCCCAAAGGTATAAAACACTTAAGAATAAACTTAACAAAAGAAGTACAAGACTTATATACTGAAAACTACAAAATGTTGCTGAAAGAAGTAGGAAGATTTAAAGAAAAAGATATCCAGTGTTTCATAGATAGGGAAACAGTATTTGGCAATACTCCCCAAATTGATCTGCATACTCAGTGCAATCCCAATCAAAATCCCAGAGTTTTTTTGTTTGGTATGGGGTAGGGGGGTTGGAGGAGGCTTGTGCGTGTGGGTTTTTCTGGTAGAAATTGGCAGGCTGATCCCAAAATTCATATGGAAATGCAAGGGAACCAAAATAACTAAAACAATCTTAAAAAAACAAAGTTGGAGGACTCACAGTTCCCAACTTCAAAACTTATTACAAAGCTACAGTAATTAAGACAGTGTGCTATTGGCCTAAGGATATGTAAAGCAAGGGAGTAGAATTGAGAGTCCAGAAATAACCCGTACATTCATGGGCAATTGATTTCAACAAGGCTGCCAAGACAGTTCATAGGGGAAACAGTAGTCTTTTCAAATGGTGCTGGGACACTGGATATCCACATGAAAAAGAATGAAGTTGGACCCATTCTTCAAACTATACACAAAAATTGACTCAAAATGGATCATAGACCTAAGTGTAAGAGCTAGATAGGACTATAAAACTCCTAGAAGAAAACTTACGAATAAATCTTCATGACCTTGTATTAGAGGTGGTTTCTTAGATACAACACCAAAAGCACAAGCTACAAAAGAAAATATAGATGAATTGGACTTCAACAAAAATAAAACCTTTTGTTGCATCAAAGAACAGTATCAAGAAAGTGAAAAGACGGCCCACAGAATAGGAGCAAGCATTTACAAATCATATATCTGACAAGAGACTTGTATCCAGAATACATAGAGAACTCTTGCATCTCAGTAATGAAAAGACAACCCAATTTTAAAAAGGTTAAAG